TGGGCCAGGATACCGACGCCAACGCGACCCTCGACAGGGGCGCTTATTTTATAGTGAAAGATAGCCGCAAGAGCCGTGACGGACTAATATAATGGAACGTATGGACGGGATTGTCATGTTGATGGCCGTCGAGGTGACGAGCATGTTCATCGAAGTTTCGTTTCGCGGAATTAGCCACCGTACGCGGAAGAGCCCCCATCTCCCCCGTTGGCATCTCCGTCACCGATGACGCCTGACCCGACAGCCCCAACAGCCGTCGGCGAGGCAGACGATCCAACGGACGAGGAGGAATTCCTACCGCTCGAGACGGGCGAGCACACGACATCAATGCCGGAATTCAGGACGATGGAGTCGGCGGGAACGGGAATTCCCTCGTCGGCCCCGGACGTCAAGTCGTCATCGGTGGAAGTAGCACGCGACACCCCAGTATCCGGCAGTAAAGCCGACCAGCTCTCTTACATCTCGGACCGTGTCGAAGAAAGGGACCAGCCGGGACCGAAGCCCACGGCGACTTACGAGTCAGTAACAGAGGACGAATTAACGGAATTTGGAGGTAGACCCCAATAGCCCATTTCCTCGGACTACTCTACGCTATCTGCTAAAGATCCCCGAGGTGGGTAGTGGCGCCGATCTAGCTTCTCAAAAAGTAGTGGAGCGAGCACAGGAAAAAGCCTCGGTAGAGAAAACCGGCGGAACCGTCAACGCCATCAAACGGCCGCCCGGGGTAAGCGCCGCGGAGGCCAGCGACAACCCAGCGTCGAGGAAACGCCGGTACCGATCCCCAAGAAGTCTTGTCCGGAACCCGAGACGATTGAAGCAGCGCAGCTACGCGTGCCGCATTCGCCCCGCGACCGTCAAGAGGGTCCAGCCCGGGAAGGATAACCGTAGTTGCGGAGCCGTGGCCACTCCCCCAGGTGGTCATTCCGAACCTTGGTTGGCGCCAATTGCCGTCTGCCAGATGGTCACAGAAGAGCCGTAGACCAGAATCGAGGACGCGATGCCCCCTCTCATACCCATAGCACGCGCACAGGCACCCGGCACTACTTCCCGGAAGGAGATGGAGTAGGCATGGCCCGCCAGGGAAGACGCGATGCTGCCGTTAGTGCCCTTTACACGTTTGGAGGCGCCCTTTGCCGTTCACCGGGCGGATATGGAAGCGGCGTGATCCGAGTAGTAAAAAACGGGACGCTCTACTTTGCCTATTAGGCCGAGGAGAACGATCGACATTTTACCCGCAGGTATCTCCGTGACCCCCCGATAGCTAGCGGTGGGGGAACATCGTGGACTTGTTCGATGGACACAAGTGGGACACCAGCCGGTGCTCGACCAAGTGGCGAACCTGAATTCAGGGGCAGCCCCACCGACTGCTAGTCCTGAGTCTGAGGAGTCCTACGCCAACAGAGACCGTCAGAAACCCAGTCTTTGATTCTGACCCCTGGGGGCGAAGAGTATTTCCGCGCGGAATGCTTTAGTCATCGGGCGTAGTAGACCTAATCGAAGGAGAGATAACGATCCGCCTGGGCCGATATCAGCGAACCCGTTTCCGGGTGACAGAATGCAGCCAAGTGAACAAAGTCACGGTGACGCAACCGTGAGGCGGCTACCCAGAGCAGCCACCCCACAAACCTGATTCACGGCAAAGAGCCGTTAGGTTTTAAGATATTCGCGTTAGGTAGAATCACGGTAAGAAGCCGTTAAATTTAGTGTTTATTATTTTGCTGAAATTTAAGCATCATCAGTATAAGTATTAAGGAAGGCATCAAGCCGTTACACCTATAGTTTTATTGTTTTGTTAGTTTTGATCATCATAAGTATTAATAGTAAAGAGGGCAAGGAGCCGTTTCCGATATCGATAGGATAAAGGCATTGTTAAACATATTTGTATTGGAATAAGAGGATAGTTAAATTAAGTGATGCTTATAAAGAATGTCTTTCATATTCATTTCCTATTAACACTAATCTCGGACACCGTGGCTAGCCGGTATTCAACAAACCCCTTTCCTAACCTAAAACGTAGTTTTTCGAGCAAAAAGGCTTTATTACGGCACAACCTCTTTCCTAACCTAAAGTGTGGTGTATCGAGAGACGAGGCACATGATAACAATCCCAGCAGTAGTTTGCGTTAGTGTTAAGACGAACTCTGGCAGAAACCGTTGAGCTATCCATTGAACTGAACTGAAGGTCAGGTCGGTCGCTCCGGAAACGAGCACGACCTTCTGCTAGGTTGTCTGACATTTACAACACTACCCCATGTCTTGTAAACATCGTGGACCTGGTATGTCTGAGAGTCATTAATACCCCTGCCAGTAACTCCTTGACAAAATTAACAAGTAAAACTCTATTAATCCACTTTACTTTTGCAGCGTATCCGCCCTACCTGTGTCTCCCTCATTTTGGCCATTTGATGGCCTTCATCAGCCCATGTCGGCATATTTTATTTTATTTTTAAGATATCTTATATCATTCAGCAAATTTATCAGTTTATGCGTAACGTTTCCTACAGTTTAACAAGTGCGTCCAATTATTGTATTCCTTATTGTTATGGTCAGTTGACATTTATTTATAAAATTTAAAGTTTTTTTTACAGTATACCTCTACTCTTCAAAACTTCGTGCAAGCGGACTTTTCTTTCAAATTCACTTTAACAGATGGGTATTACAGTGTGCATTATTTTATAATAATAGACAATTGATATACATTTCTAATTGAAAATGTTTTCTTTGAAGGATATCTTTACTCTGCTATTTATAATTTTATACAAGCGAACATATCTTCTCACCTCCAGCAGGTACGTATAATTATTGGTATAATCTTTTAATTGTTGATCGGATATAAATGTCTTGTTTCACATTTTTATTACAGAGTACATTTGTTCAACAAATTAAACTGGAAAGGCGACAATTTTCGGAGTGTTGCGATTTTCCCTAAACAAAAATAAATTAACTACTACAAAAATCTGCTCTCGTTCAGGGAGCACAATTAGCAATCTACGTCTGACACTGCTCTTTACTGGGGCGAGGAGAACCGAAACGGAACTGACCCACTCGTATGGTGTGGGCGTGGTCTCGCCCGTTGCCGCTTCTTCGCTATTGGAGCCCCGTCTATGTTTCGTTTATGTTTGCGCTTAATAAATTTCGCTTTGCAATTAAGAACGCCCGCTTTCGTGATTAAATTTAAATTTAAATTTTATAATGGCAAGACCGATGACTTGTGGCCGAATCAAAACTATACACGAGTCCGTTATTCTCAAGTACGGTCACTAAACAAACAATGCACACTGAAATGAATCTTGATACTATTAAAAGGCTGTTTGGTGTATCTATGCATATATATATATAGAAGAACATAGCTGCACGCGCACTAATACTTTAATGCAACTATAAATGCATGAGTACACTCTCCCTCTCAGACTATATTAGCTTTAACATAATTCTGCTTAGTCAAACATGAAACCTACGATAAGCTCATTTGAATTCAATAAAAAACACTCTAAGAACTGAAGTCAAATTAGCAAGTTCGTTTAATATATTTGCACTACCATGTGTGAATGTTTTTTTAATTGAATTTATTATTATTGCTTTTATTTGTGAGAATAGCTGTTTATAGCGGCCTGGTAGATGCGGTAACACAACGTTATGTCGGTGACGGGTACGAATCCAATTTAAAAGAAAAATATTTTGTATCCTATCTTTTTTTTATCATTTTCAAAGAACTTTTACAACTATCTATAAAACAAATCATTCGAGATTTTCCACCCTTGCATTGCATAAAAAAACGGTCAAACATTGTTAGTGCGAATTAAAATAATAGCCTCTGTCCACTGTTTTAAGAAATGTCACATTTTCAATTTGAACATATTGGTTCCACCGGTTGTAGGTAACATGTGAGTGGTAAAAGCACCGCTTTTTTAAATAAACAGCTGATCAAGTTTCTTTAATTTACATAAGCGCTGTAATGTTTTTCTTCTAAAACTGAAAAATTGCGAAGTAAGGGCTCCATTTTAGTTACACTTTTCGGGACTTCGTCATGTTTAAATTCTGAAAACTACGGAATTATTTTAATATTAAATTTCTTGTTTAAGGTTGCCACTTGGCTTCGTTGATATATCTGCGGCTTATGGTTATGATACTTTAGCAGTTTTCACAACATCGATAGAAATCTCGATCAATCATCGAATTTATAATTCTGACATTTTTGAAAAATGTGTGAAATGGTTTTCTTATGGGGAAACGTACAGGCCGCATTTCACACATTTTGCAAAAATGTGAAATTTTTAGAAATGTGTTCAGTGGATAGAGGCTATAAAATGTCGTCCGAGCATTAAAACTTGATGAATTTGCCAACATTTGCGAAAAATATTTATAAACACTGTTTTATTACCATCCGATCAGCATAAGAAATTTGTTTTCTTAAGCCAAGACTTAAAGCCAAGACGGAAATTTAATGAGAAAGTTTTGAAAATACCAGAAATCCCGTATTAAATTAATATAGTTCAGGATCGTGCTCGGAAGCTCTAGTATTTTTTTTAAATGCATTTTAGGGGTTTTGCAGTGTCTGTATTGTCCGATTTTCTTCTGCTGCTCTTCTTTCTTAAATTTCACACGGCTAACGAGTAGCTTTGCCATATATCATTGCAAGAATTCATTTTAAATAATTCAAAGTATAGAAAATGCATGTATATCTATGTACTTACATACATACTACTATTTTTTTCACTTCTCGTTCATTATTTACTTTTTTTACCGCATTCACTGTATTTTAAGTCAAAACAGCGCTGGGATTTTTTCGTAACCTTATCGGTAGCGATTAAACAATTATGGTGCAAGTACAGCATCTTAAGTGTTAACGACGCTGTTTTGCTGTGGGCTAAAATAAAAAAAGGTTTTATTCTTGGGAATAAAATGTATTTTTTGTTCTACTTTTTGTTTCATCCTTAAGCGCCAAAGGTTAACTGGGTTCGAAACGACACAATCTCTTAATACAAATATTTTAAATTATGCACAAAACCAATATGCATATATAGTGCAAGCTGCATACTAAGCTTAGAATATTATTGCGGTACTTGTTAAAGAGTAAAAGGATGACTTTAAATTCAAGCTGGTTCATATGTAAGAACTTACATAATTAATAAACAAATATAAACAAATTTATCTTGGAATACCATTTTAATAAAGAGGCCGAGGTTATGTGTTGAATAGTTATAACGATGTATTTTTTACACAGATGTGCGCAAATATTGTCCATCAAAATGAATGTAGTGACAGTATCACACAAAAACTTCAATCTGTTTTGGCTTTGCGAACTATGTTGTACTGTCGGGCTGCTGTGTACAGTGCAGCAGGACTATTGTGCGGAACTCTCTAAAAAGTCATTGAGTATGATATTGGGCCAAGCCTTTAACCCACGCTACATGAGCATTGAGCCACCGAAAGGAGGAACAAAAGAGGATGCATCGAACTTTGGATTTAAGAGATCACTCTTTGATGTACCATTCTATGCCGATAACAACGTCGTTTCATTAGGTACTTTCCCCGCTTGGGAGACCAACCATTTTGCATACTTTGCAAAGAAGGAAGAGGACTCATTAAAAAAGAAAGACATAAACATTAGAAATGCTTTTTTTGAAGAAGGCGGACATGGAAAACCTGAAGTATTTAAAACTCGGCCTTGGGAGTGTTCCTCAATAATTAACTGGATTGATCTAGGATTAAATTATTTTCCACGCTACATCCGCTCCATTGAGTGCATTGCTAAGAAGTGCTGGTACGGCCACTTCAAATGCAAACCTAAATCATTCACTATCAAAGTGCTTCGTCGTAAACCTGGGTCTTGTATTCATGTAAGCGAAAAACTAATCTTAATAACTTCAGACGAATACATAAATGAATACACACAATTATGGATTTGGGAGGAAATCGCTGTTAACTTTTGCTGTGAATGCGTAATGCTATACTAAGTATAATTTAATGAGATTATTATTTTTATATTCGTTTAATTAAAATTTAAAGTTATATTCACAAAAAACGGCTTTTAACATTAAGAATGAACGATACTAAAATAGGCCTCATGTTCCTCCTCATCGACATAATAAAATATTGGGGAAATACTGTTGGGTAAAGTATGATAGTTCTACTTTTAAATATCAAATTAGGTTTAGTTCCATGAACCCATTAAAAATGGGTATAAGGGTATATTGTATTTGTGCAAAATCCAAATGTATGTAAAAGGCAGAAGGAATTATCTCGGACCCAATTAAGTATACATATTCTTGATCAGCATCAATAGCCGAGTCGATCTAGCCATGTCCGTCTGTCTGCCCGTCCGTCCGTCCGTATGTATGAACGCAAGGATCTCAGAACCTATAAGAGCTAGAGACTTGAAATTTTAGATCAATATCGTGTTTTTTGGGCAATTTTGGTAAATAATAAGAGCTAGAGTCACCAAACTTGACATAGCTTCTAAAATAGAATATATATCTGCATTTGATGTTGGAAGAAGAGGGTTCAGGGTATCCCCTAGTCGGGAGCTTCCGACTAGAACCTCATACTTGTTTTTTTTGGAAATGTTAGATATATTACTAAAAAAAATCCCATCCAGCAGTAAGGAGTTTATTAATTTGCTTTCCAGTTCTGCATCGTCTTGACTAGAGTATTATTGAATTGATTGGGCTTTATTGTATTGCAGATTTTACTTTCTTTCCAGTGCACTCTCATTTATAGATCGTTTAAATATCTTAAATTGTAGTCGTTTATTTTTCCTCTTTGAAGACACCTTCACTTGTAGAAACAGCCAGGCGTTTCTTAAAGGCTATGTACCAAAAAATGTTGTATTTTTATGACAAGAAAGTTAAAGAATTATTATTGTGGAGCTAAAATGTTATTATCGGAAATTACTAATGGAAGATTTTCATGCTTATCGCGATCACTTAATTACGAGCGAGCATTTGACTGCACCATAATAAATTTCGGCTATACTTTATTATCCGCCGTAGGGGCAAATCGTCAACGGTACATGATTTGGGTTTTGGCCGAGTCTTCAGAAAACGCATTGAAAACAACAAACAGTCGGGAGCCCCCGCCTAGGAAATCCCTGAACCCTCTTATTACAACACTAAATGAAGTTCGAGCTACGCTAGGGTTCGAACTCGCGGCAGACCTCATCACTTGCCACTGTCTCTACTCAACAGCCACACCACAAATAAATTTGAAGCAGACGCGTATGAATGTGTGTGTGTAAGTTAAGCGGAGTCAACGAACGGTTGGCCAGAATATGACTCCGACCACAATTGCTGAATAAGCATTGGGCCGGATGTCGTTGCTTAGCCGGCAGACTCAGCATATTTGCGTGGCCGCTATGAACGAAGAAATAATTTAAGAATCATATTCTGTTAGCTTTAAGCCCAAAGAATTGTATCGCATGTTTTAGTTCTGAAATAAACGTCGTTAGTTCAACACGTCGGTACTCCGGCACCAAGCCGTAAAACATAATTGCTAAACGGGCAACAAATAAATGTCACTTAATCAATACACTCAAAAGACACTTATATGGCGCCCAACATATTTTTAGTTCTGAAATAAACGACGTCATTTCAACACGTCGGTACTCCGGCACCAAGCCGTAAAACCTAATTGCCAAACGGGCAACAAATGAATGTCATTTAATCAATACACTCAAAGACACTTAATTTGTACATGTATACAGAAATTCTTGGAATTTGCTGGTTGGCTGCTGCTAGCATGTGCTTACACGTAACTATTGTTTCTCTACCAAACTGTCTCTACCCCTAATAAAATTGTTGCTTTCAGGATACCTTCGGGAAGTCGCTGACCATTCCCAGCTATGAGCAGGGGCATAGCTTGCCGGACAGGCTGAAAAATTTTCCCCCACCGGGTCGGTGATTTCCCATTACTGTCCTCTTTGTCCTATCTACTTAACACTTTTTATCTAACTTACACTGCTTTACTTTACTAACAATCTTCTTACTTTCTTTTTTCCTATTTATTGTATTTTCTTTATTAATATAGCAAATTAAGTTTACTTTTAATTTTACTTGAGATCACTTTTTTCCTACTTAAAACCTTCTGCTTAGATGTAGGCTCTAATAGCGTCACTGACAAAATTAGCTGTGAAAAGGGGCACAGCTGGCCGGACTGGCAAATAAAACACCTCCATCGGTCGGTGATGCTATTTAGAAAATTGTGTCCTTTAACTAGGCTTTTAGCATATAATTCTATTGTACAATCTTTTGAATAATGAGGAAGACACTCGTTTTGTCGACCATTAATAAATAAAATAAATAAATTAACCGATCTTAATGAAATTTTCCAATTAACTTATTAACTTGATTTATAGCTCTACGGTGGTAGCTTGGAGGTGGCGATAGGTATAAAATGAAAGATGCATGATATATATATATACATTATTCTAGAAGAATCCTATCAAGTTTGGTGTCTCTTGCTCTTAATATTTACAAAATTTGCTCAAAAAACAGGATGTCGATATTAATTTTTATCGATTGCTTGGAAACAGAGTGAGTTATCGATTATCGGAAACAAACTTGATCTGCGCAGCTCTTATAGGTTATGATATCCTCGAGTTCATACATACTGACAGAGGGACATGCCTCGATCGACTCGGCTATTGGTGATGATCAAGAATATATGCTTCTGCTTGTTACACACATTTTCACAAATACGTATTACTCTCTATACCCATTTTTAATGGGTTCAGGGTTTAATAAGGGCTATAAATATTTTGGTTTGGGCTCAAAAGTTTAATTACTCTTTATCTCTCTAATAGATAAACAACATTTGCATACGAGAAACAAGCTAGTCAGACCAATAAAAATTTGATCTCCAATAATCCTCAATAATTTTGTGGGTTGACCTCCACTGACATTAGACGAATAAGTAAACTTTTATACAAATCTATGGACTCGGGATAAAATTGCTTTAATCTTATGCTGGCAATACTAAGTAAAAATTATTTAAATGCTATTTTTATATTCGATAAAATAAACTTTAACTTTAATAGCATTAATATTCCTCCTTATGGATTGAAAAGAAAATTAGGAATGTACTTACAGATAGGGAAAGTTTTATCGTTTGACTAATGGTAATAATAATTTGATTGGACTTCATAAAACCAAGAATATTGGTAGCGTGTTTTTAATTTGTTTTTGCGTTCAAACCCGAGTAAAAGTTCGAAGTTTGACCAGTTTAGTCAAAAATATAGTAGTTACGGCAGCCATGGCACAGAGAGAGCTTCCGGAAAACGATCCTTAAGTAATTCACCAAGATACCAATATTTATCCTCCGTGGGATCAATGCCATTTAACATGCCCCATAATACCCCATTCAATCCAAAATCGGTTTTTAGATAGCATCGGTATGGATTGTAGCAAAGTCATTAGATGCATCATTATCACATACTATACTTTTACAGGTTATTTTAAAGGGATTATTTTATAGGGGAAGCAAGAATATGGAACGGTGATCTCCCTGTAGACGCAAATGAATTATTTTTCTTGCGGTATAGAGTTCGTCGACAAATCCTTTTGCATCTCCAGTTTGATTGATGTGAAGAATTTCATCAGAAAATCTATATTAGTTAAATACTTTTTAAACTAAAAGTAAATTGAATTACATTTTACAATTTTAAATTAATATAAGAATGGATAAAAGGTTACCAAACATTTTGTTTTTTATACCCTGAACCCATTAAAAATGGGTATAAGGTTATATTGTATATGCGCAAAATCCAAATGTATGTCACAGGCAGAAGGAAGCATCTCCGACCCCATAAAGTATATATATTCTTGATCAGCACCAATAGCCGAGTTGATCTAGCCATGTCCGTATGTCTGTCTGTCCGCCCGTCCGTCTGTCCGCCTGTCCGTCCATATGTATGAACGAAAGTATCTCAGAGCCTATATGAGCTAGAGACTTAAAATTTTAAATGCAGGTACTCCTAGTACCTGCACAGACCGAGTTTGTCTCCGTTTTCAAGCAATCGATAAAAATCGATATCGATATCCTATTTTTTGGGAAATTTTGGTAAACAATAAGAGCTAAAGTCACCAAACTTGACATATAGGGTTCAGGGTATCCCCAAGTCGGGAGCTCTCGACTAGAACTTCTAAATTGTTTTTTATTTGCTTTCTGAATTTTTTGTTTCAAATGATTTTTTATGTAAATACTTAGAAATGAATTTTACCGCGAAACGTCAGCCATCAAATCTTACACTCCTATTTCCACCAAGGAGGAAAATTGTAAAACACCAAATGAAACTGAACAAAGGCCTTTGAAAGTGAGTTTGAGACCGTGCGGATGGATTGCAAAAAAATGTCACATAAACATTTTTCGCTAATTAGCCTCTGTTGTGGGTGAAATTTCCAAAATCAGTAAAACACGTATTTATTAAGTTCTTTTCTAGAGCTCTGAAAAAAAGTTTGAAGCAAATAGGACGAAACTGAAAACTGTACCAAAAAATCTTAGAAATATATTTTTATGCTCTTTTGATTCTGCGAAAACTGTGAAACACGTCTCAAATGATTTTTCATATTCATCCTTGGAAATGAATTTGAGCGCGAAACGTCCCCCAGCAAATTTTTGACCACCACTTTCACCAAGGAGGGAAGGATTTTCCAAAACGTGCGAAACACCCCTCAAATGAATTTAACAAAGAAATTTAAAATTGAGTTTGTGGCCGATTGAGTAAATAAGTTTCATACATACGTTTTTCGCGATTTTTCCACTCTTGCGGGTGGAACTTCGTCTAAACGTTCACCTACAACAAAGGGTAATTACAATGAAAATTTCTGCCTCCTACGGGTTGGGCTGTGCGTTGATCACCAATCAGTCAGTCAAGACAAACAGTTATATATATTTACATGGGACGAGAAAAAGTCTTCATATAACCTAAAATTTTTTGTGCAATAAGAAATTGTTATTTAATTTAACTAT